CAAAATGTTTTTTTGTTGGTTACGTCACCTATGACTCAACATGAAATGCTCTCTAGGTTGTGACCTGAACTTGGGTCTCTAATTCACTTTCTAACCTTCTTTTATTACATGAATTGCTGGTCAATGCTTTCTTTTTTTCGTACTTTTATGGAAGGTGATTTTGTAATTTTAATATTATTTGTTGTTTTCATCCAAATGGATGAGATATTACAGGAGATATCAGTAGGAAGAACCTAGTTATAGGTAATGATTTCAATGGCCATGTAGGAATAGATAAAGTAGGTTATGAGAAGGTGCATGGTGGGTATAGTTTTAGTGATAGAAATGAGGCTGGAGAGAGTATTCTAGATTTTGCATTGGTCTTTGACCTAGTGGTGGCGAGTACTATGTATAAGAAGAGAGAAGAGCATTTGATAGCCTTTAAGAGTGGGTCAATTAGGAGCCAAATAGATTACTTTCTAGTAGGAAAAGTGGACCGACTGAAATGAAGCGAGTGTAAGGTGATTCCTACAGAGAGCCTGACGTCTCAACATAGGATTTTGGTACTAGATTTATGCTTTAAAGGGCAATACCAAGCTAAGAAAGATAGTGAGCGTCGCAGGACAAGATGGTGGGACCTAAAAAGGAATAAACTAGAAATATTTAATAATAGAATGGATAAAGAAGGTACTTGAGACTTGGAAGATGATACTAACACTGTGGAACTTGATGGCCAATTATATGAGGAGAATCTCAAGGGAAGTTCTTGGAGAGTCAAAAGGAAAGGGACACAACCTTAGGGAAACTTCGTGGTGGAGGGAGGATGTTCAAGCGGTAATAAAGACGAAAAAAACTACTTTAAAAAGTGGCAGAATGATGAATTGAGGAAAATTTTAAGAGCTAGAGATTGGCTAATAAGGAGGTCGAAAAACTAATGAGGGAGACTAAGTTGAAAGCCTACGATGACCTATATACTAAACTAGATAGTAAGTTGGAAGAGAAGAGGATATACACACTGACTAAGATAAGAGAGAGAAAAACAAGAGATTTTAATTAGATTAAGTGTATCAAGAGTGAGGACCAAGGTTTCAAAAAGTAGTTGCGGTGGTTGGTTGTAGTTGTGGGTATAAAGGCCGTAACGTAATGGTTGCGGTAGGCAAAATCGTGATTTTTTTTAATTTTTCACACAATTTGAAGAAAACTTATTGATTCGCATATTTTCTTTTTCTAGAATCATATTTATTATGGTTTAAAATAGATTTTGATCAATTTTTGTTAATTTTTAAGTGTGATATAATGTATTTCATATTTTCAAATCACTATAAAAGGAGTTTTTTACATTTTATTTCAATAATTAATGACTTTAAGAATAATTGACTTTAAATGTCTACAAATTATTTTTGACCAACACCTGAACTAATTGAATAAAAAATATTCACAATTATTAAATAAAATAATTATAAAAATAAAAATTGTGCCATAAACAAAAATTATTTTTGAGGCATTTTTTTAGACAACACTTTACAGGTAACTAAATAAAATTATTTACAATTAAGTATTAAATGAAATGATTATAAAAATAAAAATTGTACCATAAACAAAAAATATTTTTGAATTTTTTAAAGACATTTTTTAGACAACACATTATAGTAACAAAATAAAAAATATTTATGATTAAATATTAAATAAAATGATTATAAAAATAAATACATATACAACTATTGTTTACATATTTTTTATTTTACATGCTAATGTAATGAAATAAAAATTTAAAAAAAAAATTATAAAGAAAATAAATTCATATAAGTTTTTTTCTTTGGGCTTGGATCACTTGAGTATTTGTTCTTTTTTTTGTAAGCTTTTATTTATTTATTTTTTTGGGAAAGGAAGTGATTTAGAATATTATAAAAGGGTGTAACAGACTGTTACGGTACCGCTACAGTCGTTACGTAACACCGAAACGACTATTACACATGAATTTCCGTCATACCGCTATAGCGGCCGTAACGGGTGGCGGCAACCACCACAATTATTCCATAATGGCATTATATAATGGTTGCAGCAGCTTTTTAAAACCTTTGGTGATGACTCTAAGCTGTTGGTGAAGGATAAAGTGATTAAGGAGAGATGGAAGAACTATTTTGAGAAGTTGTTAAATGAGGAATATGGAAGTAGGTCAAGAGGGAAGGAAGTAGGCAGAAATGAGAAAAACCAGGACTATAGGTTCTATCGTAGAATTAGAAACTTTGAAGTGAAGATTTCAATTCAGAAGATGAAATAGAATAAGGCTACAGGATCCGATGATATCCCTATTGAAGTCTGGGAATGCTTGGGTAAGAAGGGGGTTGTTTGGTTGACTAGGTTATTTAGCAAAATTTTGTTGACTAGGAAAATGCCAGACGAGTGGAGGAAGAGTATTTTAGTACCAATATATAAGAATAAAGGAAATGTCTAGAATTACAACAACAATAGAAGAATAGAGCTAATGTGTCATATAATGAAAGTATTGGAAAGTAATAGAAAAGTATAGAGAAAAGAATAGAGACATTCATATAGTTTTTATCAATCTTGAGAAAGCATATGATAAAGTGCCTCGGGATATAATTTGCTGAGTGTTGGAGAAGAAATGGGTGGCAAAGGTTACATTGATGTGATTAGGTATATGTATGAAGGTGTGGTGACCACTATTAGATTGCCTGCTGAAAAGACGAGTGAATTTTCAATTACTGTAGGGTTACACTAAGAATCAGCCTTAAGTCTTTATCTTTTTGCTCTAGTTATGGATGAGTTTGTGCGAAATATTAAGGATGATGTGCCTTGGTGTATGCTTTTTGCAAATGATATCGTGTTAGCAGATGGACTAGAGAAGGAGTTAACACTAAGTTGGAGACTTGGAGAAAATCACTTGAATTTAGGATAAGCAAAATTAAGGCAGAGTACATGGAGTATAATTTTAATAACAGTAACAATGGAAGCAGAGGTGAAGTAAAGATTGAGAACCAAGAACTACCTAATAGTGATCATTTTCGTTATTTAAGATCGATTATCACAACGACTAGGAAGATTGGAGCAGATGTGGTCCATAGAATTAAGGTAAGGTGGCTTAAGTGAACGAGTGCATGTAGGGTACTGTGCAATAAATGCGTACCCACTAGATTAAAAGGAAAGTTCTATAGAACGGCTATTAGACCAGCGATGTTTTATTGGACGAAATGTTAGGCAGCTAGAAAACAACATGTAGATAAGATAATTGTCGCTGAGAAGAGGATGCTAAGGTGGATGTGTGGCAAGATTAAGAAAGACAGAGTTAGGAATGAGTATATTTGAGAATGGGTAGGAGTTGATAGAAGATAATTGAGAGAAAATAGATTGAAATGGTATGATCAGATATAATGGAGACTAACAGAGGCAGTAGTGAAGAAATGCAATATAGTGATGGTGGATGGTAGTGTTAGGGGAAGGGGCTGACCTAGATTGACGTGGACTAGTGTAGTAAATAGAGATATAAATCTCCTTAATTTGACTAACGAAATGGTCTTGGATAGAGTCAAGTAGAGAAGGACTCATGCAGCCGCCCCCATTTGATGGGACTTAAGACTTGGTTTGGTTTGCTATTTTGATCCAATGGGTTATAGCTGCAACTTAGTTTGGTATTCAGATAAGTTTCTGAATTGGAATGTTTTGTGGCCTTAGGGAGTGTAGATGAACATTATTACCAAAGCATGTTGAAGGCTTATGTTCTGTTCTAGTATCATTCTGAGATAGTGTTTTGATACACTATTACCAAAGCATGTTGAAGGCTTATGTTTTGTTCTTTTATCATTCTGTGACAGCCAGCCCCTGTTGAACTGGAGTAGGCATTTCAATGGCTGGGCAAACTTAAACAGAAATGGGTAATTTCTCTGGATAGTCCAATCAATTTCATCTGCAGGAATCTGGGATCAGGTATGATGGTGCAATAAGTCTAAGAGAACCTTGCTATTGGTGGCCTAAAATTCTCTTCATTTTAGTTGGATTGGAAACAACTCTTCCAAACGTTTACGTAGTGTGGTTCACGTTTATGGTGTAGTTCAACTAGAATTCTTGCCTGGGTGACCTAAAATTCTCTTCCAACATCAGTTTGAAAGCCTGAAGTCTAACCACATTAATGGTCTCCAAGTATAATGTCACTTGTGGACCGAACAGATTTACATAATTGAATACACAAAATTCTTGATGAATTGGTAATTTCACTATTATATGAAATTTTGGTTTATTTAATTATTTTTTTTATGAATAGTTGAACTTTTTTCTATAAATAAGCGCTTTTGACTCTTTTAGGGATAGTGATTGATGATTGTAATAATTAAGATTATGGACACCACTGGACAAGCTTATTGTAGCTGGTTAATAGTTATGGGAGATGTGTTTCAACAGATTGGTATAAAAACTCTTTAAGCGACTCTAAAATAAAAATTGAGGTACTCTAGCTGGTTCTGCTGCATCAGTCATTTAATCAGCGTCAGTAACTTATTTTTGAATAACTGATGTATGCAACAATCTATGATCATTACAACTCAGCTAACGTTTATAAACTTATTTGAAGTGGTCACCAGCAAGGAAGTTCCTTCAATGGACACTTTACAATTTGGTATATAGACCTCCTTTTTTTTTTTTTTTTAATTTTGAAATTGTTGTTATTCGATCGATTTCTTCTCATCTACTGTATTGCTATTGGGATTACTGTGCACAACTGATGAAGACAGACATGACCCTTAATTAAGTATCCTATACATTTTGCAGGCAGTGTTGATTTTGCTGAGTTAAACTGCACTTTTTTTCATATCCTTGTACTCATGTTTTTGCCTTTTCTATAATTTTTTTCTTTTCAACCTTTTTTGATATGGTGCATCAACCTTGTGTTAGGTTTAATTTTGTCTTGAATTATTATTAGTTAGGAATTTATAATCTTCTGATTTGTATATCTTGTTCTAATATGACTCCAAAAATTCAGGGTCTAGTTTCAGAACTGAAGAACTGACCTTTCTGCTTCTAGTTTGTGCAAGTTTGGCATCTAGAAAGTGTTCTAGACGCGAAAGGAGACTAATGTCCAGTTGTTCTACAGCTTGAGATTCAAAAAACCTGGAAAGGGATAAAGCAATTGTTACCAGAACCTCCCACTTAAGGGCAGTATGTTATCATATACTTTCACTGTGCTGCTGCATGTTATCATTTTTGTACCCAGGGTAGTATGTCATTGTTCAAGCCCCTTTCAAAATATGCCTCCTTATACGATCTGAATTGGTTTTGGAAACACCCGCCTCCACACACACACACAGACAGTAATAATAATAAATAAAGAAATATATTCCATCACTGCACAATAAGTTCACAAAAAATTATTACCTTTGCACTGATGGCAGTATGTTATTGTTTTCACATGGAGTTCTACATTCTTGCTGATGCTTCTGGAGTTAAAAAAAGAAAAAAAGAGATTGAGTTGAAACAAAAAAGAAATGGGAACTGCCATAGTTTATTGGATGAATGAGTTTTATATCAATTTATAGTGTTCAGTCAATTATTTTTGTTCAATCACAATTACATACTTCTGGTGTATTTTTTATTTTTTCTTTTATTTTGGGGGAATAATTCTGGTGTATTGTTAACGTAACAAACAATGCTACCAGCATGTGTGATATGAAAGGTGTTGGCAATAGTTATTATTCAGTGAGATAGTCAATTAGTGGGTTTGAATGCTATATTTATGTTATTAGGCAGGTATAATATTATAGGTTAGATTAATCTTGGAACTCTTTTTGTATCAATACTTACCTCTCATGTTTCAATTTTTGCAACAGCTGACAGTATGGAAGTTGTCTACAATGTTCAAGATATATTTTTTGGTATTACCTACCCTTTTGCCATTAGCTTGTCTTTTATTTTTGACTTGTCCTTTGAATTGAATACACTGAAAATGATTGTTTGTTTGGGATCCCTCTTACAATAGGACCTTATGAAAAGATGTGGAACAGCTTAATCATTAGGCTGTTTTCTGTCCCCAGTTTGGATAGTGAAAACTTATTACCTGCTTTTTGGTTTTATACAAATCAGGGATTATGCATATGTAGCTGTTCTATTCTGTGAGGCAGACAATTGTATTTTACCTCAGGTTGATGATCGTTGCTGTTGCCAGAATTTGCCTCTACATGAGTCCGGTAGCGTTCAAGGATCGTATTGAAACTGCATTACATTAACATTATGTAAATGACAATGCCGCTGGAAATAAAGACAAAAACATAAACGTTAGGAATGGTGGCAAAAAAGACGAAACCATAAACGTTAGGAATGGGATTTTATGTCATCTCAAACAAAAACTATGAGATTTGGACCCTGATGTCATTACAGTTAAAAGTATTATTCCTACTTTTGTTAGTCTCTCATTGTTAATCATCTCATTAGATTTTTCTGGCATGTTAATAAGTAAGTCTAGAGAATGAGAAATTTTTTGGTGCAGATAGGGTAGGTGCCATGTGGTACCTTTCTCCTCCCATTGGTTGAGAGAGTGGAGGCTACATGGGGAGACAACATAAGAGGCCATAGTATTTGTAATTGGTTGAAGACACCATGTAACATGCCACATAGTACCCTATCTGCACCCAAGAATTTTTCCTACAGAATGATATGTAGTCTTTGTAGTAATTAGCTATTATGTAAAACATTAGAAGTTAAATTCTTGAAGAAATTGTTGGAAAGATAATATAACAACCCTCATTTCTGCCTTAGTCTTAGTCATACTCATATGCATTTACACGATTTTTGCCTTGTTAAGCTTGCACTTGTCAACTTTGATTAGATTTGATTTGCCTAAGTAAAGGTTCCTGTTTGGTTTTGTGTTATTATGCTTTGCCTAAGTGTTATATGCATGCTTTGTTCCTTGCTTTGTTTGTTGAGCCTAGGTCATCTATCCTTGCTACCTCAAGCCTAGGCCACACCTTTAAACCTCTTACACCTAGGCCGTTGAGCGTCAGCACCTAGGATCATCTTGGAACCACCTTGGCTGACCTCCACCGTCACCTTGGCATATTGGCCAAGATGTGCATCATTTAGGCCGAGGTGTGCATCACCTAGGCCGAAATGTGTACCATCTAGGCCGAGATGTTTATCATCTAGTCATTCGAGATCTTTGATCCTTGAACCTTGCAGCCTTGTTGTGCACCTTAGCCAACACCTAGCAATCTTGTTCCGGTACAGGTACAACCTAGGCCGAGGTGTGGCACATCTAGGCCGAGGTGTGGCACATCTAGGCCGAGGTGTGGCACACCTAGGTCAAGTGTTATCCTTCCTAGCTGAGATCAGAGAAACCTTACTTGCCCGAAGCCTATGTTTGATCCGGGATCATTACCTTGTCAGAATGCCCATGCCATCTTACTTGTTATACACACTTTGTCATACTCTTGTCTTTTCATTCTGGCAACTTTTTGAGGAGAGCTAATCAGATGATGCCACGTGTCCCAGCAGTGGTTTAAGCTAGCTAGCAGTGAGGAACCCATATCATTTTGCCATATCTTTGCCTTGTAGAGAGAGAAGCTCTAGGAAGAAGAAGTAGTTCTTAGAGTGAGAACTAGATTTCCAAGCTTGATCCTTAGAGTTTGAACAGTTGGATTTGCGTTTTGAGGTTAGATTCTTGATCTACTCTTGTTGTTCTCTATGTTAATCTGATCACATTGCATGATCCAGCATGATTCATGAGCTATGCATTGATTTAAAGTTTGATTTTAGAAAGAGAAAGTGATGTTCCTATGTTCTTGAAAAAAAACCATGTTTTGATCCGAAAGTTTGTATCAAGTTCCATACTTTTGTGTTTGTTTTCACGAAATCTCCACATATGGGTACCCAAGTCTATGTTTTTGAACTCATCTCATGAAATCTCAAATTTCGGATAAGAAGTTATGATTTTTGGCATTCATGTTCTTTAAGGGGAAACCCAGATTTTCAAACTTCATTTCCCTAAGTGTGGTCACGGAGACCCACTCTTGCCTAGACCTCACACCTAGGCCAAGCATCGTATCTCACCTTGGCCTACCTTGCATGATCACTTACACCTTAGTTTATCTTGCATGCATACCTAGGCCGAGCACTACACACCTAAGCTGATCATGGTACACCGTTGCCGGCACCTTGTAACATCTCGACATGCAGCCGTACACCTAGGCCTAGGAGACCACACCTCGGCCAAGAGGTGTGGGACCTCGGCCAAGACCTCCTGAGTTCACCCAGCTAGGTCATTTTGCCTAGATCATCTCTATGCATCCATTCCAAGACCTGGTTTGTACCCAACATGTTTTTCCCATTTAACTCCCAGCACATGGTTTGCTTTGTCTTGACTTGGTTTCGGAAAGAAATGCCGGGATCTTTTTCACTCATGTAAAGTTTGTTTTCAGAGTGCATTGCATAACCATCTTTGAGCATTTCTTCTTGTCTTCTTGAAGTGCATTCAATGGGATTTATTATGTATTTGTAGGCCTTGGATCCTTACTTTAATCCCCACGTCCGAAAAGCTATTGTGAATGGTATTTTTAATAAAGCTATGTTATAATGTTTTTCATAAAAGTTTTGCTTTGCTTTGTTTTGTTTTGAAAAGTATTTGATCAAATATAAATGATTATCCATTAGCTTTTGTATCAAGTATTATCTTTGTTTTAATGACATTCTTGGAAGGTCCTGTCGTGCTAGGGGACATTAATACATGTAGCACCCATGTTTGAGATATCTCCTTTGACATGGTCATGGACAGGTGGGTTTGCCTCTTTTGCCACCGACGGTCTTGTACTGGTGGGTTTGTCTAATCGATTCCGGGTCAGCCACCAATGGTCATGAACGGGTGCGCTTTTGATTTCGGATCAGTTATTCCTTTGTTTTGTTAGGAATGTCATCCTTTGTATTATGTAGATGTTAGTAAACATCCCAAGAAGCTTTGAAAGACTTTGATTGATGGACTTGGTTCATCCCATGTTTTGTTATAAGCTATGATATATATTGTTTTGATAAAGATCTCGGATATCATTCATTCAAACCTTTATTACTTATATCATTCACTGAGTCTCCAAGCTCACCCTCTTCCTTATATATATGTAGGCGACGAGCAAGAAGGCAGTGACGCCTAGGTTGTTATTTGCAAGTTGTTTTGGATTCATGTTTTGCTAGCATCTTGAAGATTATGCTTCTTAGTTTGTAATTCATTTCCTTCATATCTTTCGGCTTGAGAAGCCTTTTGATCAAGATGTAATATGAACTTTACTTCATTTGTATTCAAGTTGTAAGACTATGTTTATATGTATGTCATTTCATTTAATCTATGCACAGCTCTTATGGATTAATTAGATTTGAAATTATTGCTTCCGCACATGTAAGCCCCATATGTATACTATGTTTGTGTGAATCTTTGTAAGTTGGCCCGTGGTAATCTCGGATTACTGGCCATCACGGCATCATTCTACTATGGGTGGAATGGAGTCGTGACAGATAAAGTTTCATTGCGAAAATGCTTTCTTGTTTAGTTTATGTCATGAATTAAATGATAAGACGACTTTTAGACAACCAAAAAGTAAAGAAAAGTGTATAGTAATATTTTGATGTGTAATCAGAAAGAGCAGCTTAACAAGGTGTAGTGTAAACATATCACTAGTTCAGCATTGATAACCTAAGTCATTGACTCATCAAATTGCTGATTGGTTTGACTGGACACAAGCCATTTTGACCAATTGCAGATTGAAGGTGTCAGTCTTTGCTAGGGAAGGATTCAAGAAGGTAGGCCTTTCTGTCCATCTTGACTAATTGCAGATTGAAGGTGTCAGTCTTTGCTAGGGAAGGATTCAAGAAGGTAGGCCTTTCTAGATGTGCTGCAGTATATCATCTAATTTGTAGGAAACGGATAGTATAAAGAGTGGGGTAGGAGCCTAATGATACAAAGTTGAAAGGAAAATATTCGAATGTACTGAAAATGATAAAATGCAAAAGCTGCAGCAGTACAATATAAATAGGTCAAAGACAAAATCCTAAAAGCCTAATTACAAGAGAAAGACTAAACTACCCTTGATGAAATCCTAAAAGCCTAATTACAGAAGAAACACTAAACAACCAACTCACTCATGATATGAAATAGGTTTCTTAAGAACCCCAACAGAGGTTGAAAACTTAGCATTCAATTCAATAGTGAGTATCTACAGTCTTGGCATCAGTGAAATTGGCATGTGAAAGGATATCACCAGCATATTTGGTCTAAGACAGAAGATACTCCGGAGGAAAAAAGGCAATCTCAATACTAAAAAAAAAAAACTCAAATCCTTCATCTCAAATTCTTATAAAGGTTGTTTGATCTCCTGAACATAGTTGTCAAATCGGGATTCTAATCGTGAATCGAAATGGTTTCGTACCGAATCGTGAATCAAATCACATCGTGAATCATAAAGATTTGATCACTTTTCTAAAATTACTTAGAAAAATATATCTACACTTGGATGTTAAATATAAATATATTTTATGAATATGAAAGAAGACTTAAATCAATGAAAATATTATTTTAAATGATCCCGTAGTTTAATAGGTAAGAAATTAACAAAGGTTTTTATATAAGATCACCATCCCGTAGTTTAATAGGTAAGAAATTAACAAAGGTTTTGATATAAGATCACCATCTTACCTTTTCTCTTTTGTTAGATATTTCTTATCAACTATTCTTAATAAAAATAGTAAACAAAGACAAATTCCCAATTTCTAAAGTAACAAGTATTTGACAACAATATTGATATTTGGACAATAAGCATTCAAATTTTTTCAAGTATCAATGACCAAATAATAAGAAAAAATTATTTAGGATCTTTTATCTTAAAGCCTAAAACATTTTAAAATGTATAACTGACCTTATCTATGTAATATTTGACTATATTTAATTTAACAAAATAACAATAAATAATTCATTGTATAAGTTAATTTAATCTTAAATATAAATATCTTTAAAAGATTAGAGAAAAATATGAGAAAAAAAGTTAAAAACATGTTAGGTCCGATTGAATCTGATTGAATGAATCTAATTGAATCTTATTACAAATTCCATGATCACTAAAATAACAACAAATCATGTATATATATTGGTTATTTTGGTACTAAACACTATTAGAAGTTATATTATATCATTATCACTAAAGGAGCAAAAAACCCAAACCAAACCAAACCCAACCAAG